AAAACTTTAAAGAGAGAACGCATGCATTAGGGAAGAAAAAAGATGCATGATAGGACTGATCTCGGCGGCCGAGACTCGGCCGCACAGAGGACTAATAAAGGTTTAAATATCAACATTAATAAAGCTATTTAAGAGTAAAAAATATTAAATTTTCGATTTATTTATACAATAAGAATATAATTATCTAAGGTAAACAAGAATTTCTTATAAAGATAAGGTATGTTTAACATTAATGCAAATAAAAATAGGTTATAATCCTTTTGAAAATTTGTGTTAGGGTTAGGTATACGTATACGTTTTTATTGATGTAAGTATTAACAAATGATGGGAAATTGACAATTATTTTTAAAGAGCCTAATAGTGAATAGCCACTTTTATTGATAATGGATTTTAAATCAAAATTAAAGTGTAAGGTTTTGTCAGGTCAAGCTAGATAGGTGATAGCTAATGCCATTTACTTTATGCAGCGAGAAGCTGCACAAAATGGCACTATCCGTGATTTTTAAAAAATCCAAGAGCGTGCTGCATTAGTCACTGGTGTTAGCCTTAGTAGATTAAAAAGAATTTCCAAGCGATGTTAGCACGCTATAAAGTTTGAGAATTATTTTATGGAGAAAGAACCGGCTTTGGATTTAGTCGTGGATGCTTTAATTACTAATTTTCAAGGTGACAGTGACAGCGAGGTTACCAGCAAATAATTTTATTTAATAAATAACAGGATAATGTATTAGCATAGTACTAAAATATTATTTTGCATATTGGTTATAATATTTTTTTGATTTTTCTAGTAGGTCCTTTCGAGACTTTTCTGGCAATAAATTTTGTTTAACACCAAATAAAATCCTTTTTTTCTTCTTTAACATTAACAGCCGCTTATTGTAAATAAGTAAATTAAGGACGGCATGGGGAATCGATTTTGACATTAACTGTCAAACCAATGACTGTGATACCAACTATGTAAAGTAAAATTCGACCAAATTAAATTTAAGGTTTAAAATTAATATTTTTTATAGAATGTTTGGAAAATAGAAAAAATAGCATAAAGAATTCTTTAACTCATGTCATAAGAATTTTTGTGGCACTCATCCATTACAAATTATCCGCGTGCGACAAAATGGCGTCTTATGACATTAGTTCTTTAATATATTATTTTATACTTCATTTTAATTCACTGTGCGAAGCATTTTTTATCCTAAGGCAAATTCAATGCAAATGACGGCACCTGCGCACAGTGTTGCCACTCGTTCATTTTATTTTGTGCTAGGTGGCTCCGTCATTTCGTATTAGATTGTACTAAATGCTATATGGGTGAAATTGGCCACAGATGGCAAATAACACTCGAGTCACCAGACGAGAGACCTAAATCATCCGAGTGAATATTGCGCATAATCTCGAGTGTAACTATACTTTATCTACTCCAATAAGCAGATAATTAAACGATTTTCAAAATTAAATAAATAAAATCTGACATCTGTCAAATGGTTAACCTCACTTTTTACCAATTTTAAATGTTATTATAGTCGCCTTCTCCCAATTTAAAATCCGATTCGTTCAAATCACAGTGAATATTGAAATCGGCCAATCACTAATGCCTAACAACGTGAATAATGAGTTTATTATTCACGTTGTTAGGCAGGAATTTGATAATGAACATTTAACAGTATTCACGGAAAAACCCCAAAATTATGCAATAGGAGTAGATAAAGGCATTTATGTTGGCAGTCCTGCTCAAGAACTTTTAAAAAACTGCAAGTAGCAGAATGGAACGCTGGGTGTGAGATATAAAAAGCCCATAAAAAAGAAGCCTGTGATAAGATGGTTGCAGAACACCCAGTGTGATTCCACATTTTTTATGCTGCCATCTGTGGGCAATTTTACTAACATGTCACTGACATAAAGTCAGTCAGTTGTTTGCATTGTTGCCAAAATGATTAAAAATTATTTTGGTTTTAATTCCACATTTGTGGTTTAAACCAATTTTGTTGCGAGAATATATTTAACTATAAAAAGTACTAGATTTTGCTAAAGCGTAACTAAAAAATTAATTTTACGACTGATCTAGTACAAAAGTACTAACAGTGGCAACACTGCCTGCGCATCGATGGGCCATGTCTCTAGCTAGATTTGCCATCTGTTCAGTAAACATGCAAATTTTATTTTAGTTTAAGTAAATTATTGTGTTAGAGCGAAAGCAAAATTATTTTTAATTTGCTTCAAAATTTCTATTTGTTGGACTTAACCAAAAAAGTTTATAAACTTTTCAAATCTTCAATCAAGCACTCATTAAACATAAAAATGCTTAATTTAATGCAAATATTTCTAGACTTCTAGCAAGAAAAAAGTCAATGCATTATAGTGAACTTTGACTCAATGCGTTTATTTTTCTCAGTATACAAATCTTCCGAGTGATTTTGGATGTGATAATAAGCCCCGAAGGCTTTTCCTCTGCTCGCTTCAAAATATCAATTTTCCTTTTTCAACTGACAATCAAAGCAATCCGAAAGACTTATCAAGTCGACGCTGCATTTTCTCTTTGTTTCTACCCTCTGCGGCTACAATCAAAGAAAAAATGTCATTTGCATCTCGTAAAAAGGGACGACAGAAAGACAAAGGGCGGCTTTCCCTTTCCAGTGCTTTTTTCAATATTTTCATTTTGCTCAGTTTGTCTCAATTTTATTATGATGGTAATGGTAATTTTTGCAGTACTGTGCGGTCGTCCTTAGGCCCTTAATCCTCTCGGACGGATCGAGGCTCCAATTGTCGCAGAGATCGCGGCAAGCCTTGGTCTGCGGTGACTCCCTGCTCCTCTTCTTCCAGCAGGACCGTAAAAGGATTAAACCGTATTGCGAGAAATCGTTCGATAATAATTATTTTAAACCCACCGGTCGAATTCAATTTTCACGGACGTGCCGTTTGGAATTATTCTAGGGCCAAATTAATATCAAGTTTGAAGGTTTTGCGGCTTTCTATTTTTCATTTTAAAATCCTATTGTCGACTTCAACGGCAGGGATTTATTTAGCTTTGTCAATCTGTTCAAATACGTACAAACAAAATATGAAGCATTGGACTCAGCATTTTGGTTTATACAGTGCAAATGTTTTATTTTTAGAAACGGTGTTAGGAATTGGACATTTTAGTTTATTTTTCTAAAATATTTTACAAACAAAATGCCCATTCCATTTCAAATGGAACACCCCATATAATTTTACATTTTTTAGTTCTGTATAAAATTCTCAATAAAATTACTATACCACCTAAAGTGACTAGTTTTCGAGTTAAAATTTGACGTCAATCATAACTTTTTTGGAATACTACAACATTGTTTAAAAGATTCCATTTCAATTATTTAACATTTTTCAACAAATTACCTAGAAAAACCCGGTATGTTTTTACATAATCAAATAGATAATTAAAAAACCTTTTAATGATGTTACTATTCCCTATACCCAAAGTTAATGATTTCAGAGATATTTAACAATTTCTAAAATTTTGAATATTATTTTGTATCAAGAAATCTGTGAGGGTGAGTCAATTTTTTAGGTTGTTATAAACAATTTGTTAACTAATTAAGTGTTTTGTAAACAATATTACTGATAAAAAATAGCAGTCAGTGACTAATAAAAAACATTGACAAGCCAAACATTTTAAAAATTTAAAAGTTTTTCAAACGGTATTTGCTAATTTTGAAAAAACAAAAAACAAAGCTGTAGGATGTCATCTAGATGAAGCAAAAAAAAATATATTTTCAAATATTTTAATAGCGAAAAGAATGCTTTACTGTAACAATTTAATAAACCAACAATAATTTAATTAACAACTCCATTTCATTCAAGCATTTCTTAATTCTTACTTCTACATTAGACGTTGCTCTTCTTGACTAAAATATTGTTGGTTTATTAAATTGTTACAGTTATAACAACCTGAAAAATGACAGATTACTATGACAGATTACGTGGTACAAAATAATAATTATAACTTTAGAAATTCGCGAGGCGAAAATTATAATATTCTATCTACATAAACAATAAATTGTCAGGAAAAGCGTTTAAAAAATTGACCATTAAAAAATCAATTTTAGTTGCCTTTATTTGGTCAAAATATAATTTATTGACTTTTCTAGGTAGTTTTATATTATTATGTAAAGTTTTTGTTCATTTATACTTTTTATAAAAGAATAAAAATAATAATAAACATAATAAAATAAAATATAAAAATGAATTTGATTTTAAATTTTGTTCTATTTAAACGATTTTTAAATAAAAAAAGCAGTTCAACTTTTACACAAAATGGTAAACAATAGAAAACGAAAAACCAAATGAAAAACGTTTTTTTCTTTACTCCAGCTTTAATTCATTTTTTTTTCTCAGGAATCTTATTTTTAAACTCATAAAACATGCTTTTGATAAACTGCTTGTCAGCGTCTAAAATGAATTTAAATAATTGGTATAAATAAAGCTTATCTTCGGCGAGTAAACATTTTTTTACCGGTCTCACATCGTTGCATTGCATGCAACTTAAAAAATCCTTTGTGGCTTCTTGCTCCAATAAGAAAAATTAGATTAGCCTGTACAAAATCTTTGTCATCTTTTTTCTTTTTTTTTGTAAAATATTTTCGTAGAAAATTCTGGTAAATATTTAAGGACCATCACCGATGCATAAGGTAATTTAAAATTAATATTCTCTGAGGACTCCCTGTATTTGACTGTGCCCTGGCTGTGAAAATTTCTGTATTTCCTTGATCTGGAGAAATTCTTTCATAAACTAAAATACAATAATTAAAAGGCGAAGTCTACTCCACTTAACCCTTACTTAACCTAATTCTAAATCTAACTTAACCTAATTTTAACCTAAACTTAACTTAATAAAATAATTAAATCTAATTAAAGAAAAATAACATGCCTTAACTTTTTTGCGAAAGCGTTTTTCTGACTGATACATACTATTATCATCAATGGCATTATAAATACAGGGTGCGTTATACGAAAATGATCTCGTGAAGATGGCTGATCGAAATCTTGGTAAGGATAACTTAAATTTTTATCTAATATTTAAATCGTGTAGGTGATATCTAAAAGTTAGTTTAGATACAAAGGTGTTGAGGATTTAAGTAAATTGTAAACAAAAACAGACAAACTATATTTAAATAAATTTTCAATTTTTAACCAACCCAAATTATTTATTTTGCTAGAAATTCTGTCATATTTATGAGGGCCAAATACAAACCTGCAGCATGATAGAGCAGATAGAACATTACAATAATTTGGTATTGCTTAAAATAAAAGAACAATTTTCAAACGCATTTTATAGCTTAAAGAGTAATAAAAATTGTGTTTAGTGAAGATGGAACCATATATTAAAATATTTTTCTTACTACCTCGACTGAAAATACGTTGTTTCGTCCCCGATTTCACGGCAGAAAGTTTACGTTTCTTGCATTGGTCAAGCTATACGCGCACACTATAATAGCGGGAGTAAAAGTTTTTTAGTCGTGTGTTCAACATATGCAACTCTGATTACGACACTAATATAACCTCAAAATTTGGGCAGACATCAATATGTTTCGATATACCCATTTAATTTTTTCCCGTATTTTCGGCCGGGTTGTATTTTCGGCCGAGGTAGTAAGAAAAATAGTATACACTACTCGGGCAGAAAGTGTGAGAGCCCTGAACTGCGCGCCATGATGCCCTCGGCTTCGCGCAGTGCAGGAATCTCACACTTTCTGCCCTTGAAGTGTAATATACTATTAACCAAACTAAAATCCCAGATTTGAAAAAAATGTAGATAGAACAATATAATTCTCGCCTCGCGAATTGTTAAATGTCTCTTTAATTATTAACTTTAAGTATAGGGTATAGTTACAGCAATCGGTTTTAAAAACCGGTTTTTTAATTTACTATTTGATTATGTAAAACATACCCGGTGTAACATTTAAAATAAGAAAGTTTTTAACGAACTTTAATCACCCTATATAATAAGCTTCAAAAGACATTTCAAATAATTGTTTATACCTAGCATTTTTTTAAATGTGACATTAGGTACTTTGGACAAAACTGTCATTGCTACCAGATTAGCCGCTTCTGTATAAAAAATAGGACAATATTTGTTAAATTACAAATTGAAATTTGTTAATTAACAATTAATATAAAATTTTATAAAAAATATATAAAATGGTTTACAGGTTTTCCATTATATTTTGGTAATTGTAATTCATACTTACTCCTTAAAAATAAATTTATTTTGCAATTTGTTCGCTAAATTTTCCCATTTAAGGTACTGTTGGTCAGAGGGTTAATCCAAAGGATTATGCCTTTTTGGTCGAAAAACGGTCTCTGATAAAATTAGTCGTGTGTACAGGGATTAAAATTATAGCCTCCTTTGGATTTATTGTGTGGGCAGCTGTTGACATATTAATTTAGACCGCCGTGATATTAAAAACTTTATTAAAAGGATTAAACAAAATTTAATTGTATTTTAGTTAACTTTAATTAATAAAAATAATATTATTTCATAAATTTAAGCATAAATATTTTGTTGAAAACAACCTGCTTCTTGCATTGTTTAAATCCAACATGGCGTTATGATGAATAGAGCTAATTTAATAACAATTAAATTTCCCTTAGATAAATCGTCTTAAATTTATTTTACGCAAGGAAATTTATTTTACCTCGCTGAACAATTAAACAAAACATAAATTAGTAGGAAGTTGCCGTAATTAGAGTTGTTCTACCGTTGGAGCAAAGAAAATGTATCATACTGTGTTTATCTGTTCAACTAATATAATACAATCAACTGTTTTGTGCAAACGTTTTAGTTAGGGATGGTTTTAAAATGCAAAAGTCAAGAAATAATCATACCATTTAACCTAAAAAGTGTTGAAAACTTCTTTAAAATATTCGGAGAACAACTCTCTTAAAATTAATTTGACTAATTTTCACATTGACTAATAATTAGTCAAATTCTACTAAATAAAATAGTCAAATAGTAGACTGAAATTTAAAAAAAAGTTGTGAGATTGCCGGGGTTTGAACTCGGGTCTCTCACTTCTCAAGCGAATCAAAAAATCAAAATCAATATATTTCTCAATTAAAATAATTACAAATTATAAAAAGGGTAAATAATAAAGGCCGCAATGTGGTGATGTGGTTGGCTGTAAAGAGGCGCGTGGAAGTGTGGTTCCACCTCTTAAGCCTCCCTGCGAATGTCTAATCGCTGCGCTATGCCACTTTGGTAAATGACTTCTTATAAGTTTTTTAATATATCATCAAAGATGGATATCTTTTTTGTGTTGCTGTTTTGAGCCAAATATTTGTTGTTGGCCACAAGAAGTTAAAATAATTAAATAATTTGCTTTATTTTATTCTCAGAAACTGTCAAACTTTTACTATTTTGTATTAGTTTTTAAAAATGAAAATGACTATTTTATTTAGTAAACAATGCTGTTACTAATTCAAATAGTGTAATTTTGACTATTTCATTTTAGGAGAGAACGTTGAGCTAATCAAAGGCAAATAAGCATGTCAATTGCGGTCGTCAAGTCGCCTGGCCGGTGGTGAAAGAGATTCGTTGATTTGGTTTGTGTCCAAGTGGGCTCCGTTAAATTCGGCCATCTATGATGACAGGCCATGGAACAATCGAAGCTTCGACTAATTCGCGTTAATTTTACTTCACTGGAGTTGGATTCAATTTAGTTATCTGCATGAATATTGTTTGTTTTGGGTCTGAATTAGATTTTTATTATATTATTAAGCTTAGATTCTTAGTATGGAATAATGCTATCGGTTGGGGCAAATTAGCTACAAATGGGGGGTTAGACAGTTCGGACAAAAGTAAAAGTATTGCGAAAAAAATACTGTACGAAGACGATAATTCCGTACAGGAAGAGCATAGTGGGGTGGTGCACCTTCTTGTTGAAGCCATATCCTTTCATTGGGAAGATTAAGTTCCAATGGATTTGGAAACAACTTTGCTAAAGTTGGGACAACTCTTAGCATTTTCAGATATCTTGCCTCGTTGAGATTTTCAATGAAAATAGGTCACACCACTACCCGCCCAAACGGTGTTTTCTTCTGCCAGTATCTGCATGCAATTCTGCCTATTTATCTCGCTTTTGAGAAGAAATATTGATTCATCTAACAAAGGAATATATGTAGAAGAAATAACATTCAACTTCAATTTATCCAGCATTTGTTCGCAACATTGCAATCTTCTATCAGAATCACCGTCAATCAATTCTTGTACGTGTTGTAGTTTATATGAATGAATTTTTTCGGCTTTTACTCATCTTAAAACTTTAAACTGTCCATATTCACGAAATTGTGCATGTATTTAAGACACAGTTTCCTGAAAAAGTGGTGGTTAATCTGGGTGATTTTCATTAAAAAGGCTTGCAACTTGCTTTTGTGATCTACACCGTAACCAATCATCATTAATATTTCTATTCGCAGAGATTCTGTTAAGTGTGGCATTTTTAACCAAAATATTAAGTGCTTCAGCACTAAGAACAAATTATTGCAATTTTATTTTACCTCTAAAAACAATGATATTATTCATCCAAGCAAAAAAGAAACAGGTATGCGCACAGTGTATTACGTAATATCAAGCAAACTTTTAATCAAATCGGTCAGTGTTATTATTGGTTACTGACTGTTCGGTTGTTATTGTGGTTTCTCTGGGGCTACATGAACAGTTTAGTGTACCAAAGCGAAGTTGACACATTAGAACAACTCCGCGAATTTGTCACTGCAGCGGCAGATGAAATCCGAAAGCATCTGGATATGATAGCAAGAGCGACACATCATAATTTTCTACGCCGCTGTCAACTTTGTGTGGATAATAACGGCGGGATAGTTAAACATTCATTATGATTTTGCGGAACACTAAAAAATAATTACATCGACGTAAAAATTGAAAGGTGAAATTTAAAATCGACGGGAAAACCACGGAAACCTCGAGATACCTAACAATAAAAAGTAAGTATTGTTTTATTAAAAGTACCTAAAAATAATTGAGTATACAAAACAATTATTAGTGGGGGCCTAACATTTCTACTTTACTTATAAAAATGTTAATGATTTTTTTATTAAACAAAATTGGCACTAATGCAAAAATGATAGAGGAAAAACTTTCTTATTTAGTGACACCCTGTATATACTATTTTACTTTCTGGTTACGGCACTGCGCTGCTACGAAGGACGACAATAAGAGCAATGAAAGGACAAGGAGAAGTGGGAAAGGATCTCTACTCCTACAAAATGAATCAATTCTGCCCTAAGTTTGTTTGCTAATTGAATTGACTAAGGACTAAGACGATTAGGGTTATTTGCATTCAATTTTCGGCATTATCGATGAAACAATGACGAAAAAGACACTTTTATTAAGGTGACGACGCCCATTGTTTGACCATTTCTTTAATATTCTTTTTGAGTGGCCAGATCCTAAATTAATTTTTTTGATGGCATGCCACATTTAACATTCTAGGAAAACATATGTTATAATCTTGGTAGATGCACATAAATATTATAAAAACCTCATGCGTGATGTATAAATATATTTTTGATGTGGCTTTTAAACCAGGTTTACCTAGTCTTTTTAGTTCTGAGACAAAAGAGACCTGAAGGCTAGCGCATTAAATTTTCATATGGTGCCTTTATTTCTAGAGAGAAAAGATCGTAAATATGCATACAAAATTTACGGGGCATGTCGAAATACTGTCTTGTTTAGATCTTAGCAAAGCTTTTGATTGCGTCAACCACTTGATTTTACTGCAGAAGCTAGAGTATTATGGACTAAGTGGACATATGTCAAAACTGATTGCTTCCTACCTGACTTACAGGTATCAGACTGTATCCTGGAATGATTCCTTATCAGAACAGAAAAAAAAATATGGGAGTTCCCCAAGGCTCAATTTTGAGTTTTTTAATAGTATGTGCTTAAGTATTTCTTTCTTGGTTAACGTTAAGTTGTGTTATAAAATAACAAAACGTTAACCAGGAACAAATTTTGTTTATTATGAAAT